TCAGAATTCTCAGGACCTAGGTGCCGAGTCCTAGACCCCAACCCCTAAGCCCTAAATCCTAAACCCTAAAGCCCCAAACCCTAAATCCCCAACCCTAAACCCTAAACTCTAAACCCTAAGCCCTAGGCCCTAAGCTACTACAGTACCTTCAAGCAACCATCATCCCCAGAACTGGTATCGGTGTCAGGGTCCTCTTCAGACCACACCGACCATTTGTCCTGGTACTCTGGGAATATGGGGTTTTATAGGGTTATATAACGTTTGATAGGTTTTTATAGGGGTTACATGGGATCATATAAGGTTCTATAAGATTTTATGGGGTTTTATAAGGTTTTATAGGGTTTTATGGGGGCTATAAAGGATTACATACATACGGTTATATAGGGATTTTAGGGTGTCCTGGAGCTGCTTCAGTTCCTCATTGTAGGCCTCCATGCGCGCCTCTGTCTTGTGGATGATCTTCATGATGGTCTTCTCCATCTGGTGGTTATTCAGGTACCTAAGTTCCTAGCTAGATTCTTGTATATATATATATACACATATTTTATAGAGTATTAGGGGTTATACAGGGAGGATGGAAAAGAAACTGGAAACTGCTAATAAATACGTGGGATGTTCACATCTTGCGTAACCAACCACGGTTAGAGCTTCTACTATTTGGGATCACGAGCTGCCTTTCCTTGCGCGCCAAATACCAGAAAGTCGCCATGGCATAGCAACATGAAGCGGCAGTTGCCAGAATTGCAACGCCCAGAAGCGACTGTTGAGAGAATGTGTTGAGCATGGCAAACTGCGTAGAGTTGACAAACCAAATTGACATGCCGAGCAGAAGTATGTAATTCAGCAGCTGACGGATCCTGGGATAGATTTAAGGATATTATTATAGAGAATATGTATATATGTATATGTGTATATAGGGATTATAATCCACGACATATGGAAAACTTACCGGTTCGTAGTACCTAGTAAGAAACAGTAAGAAAACAATTCCTGGGAATGTCCCAGGATCAAGGTTTTCTCCGTCGTATAGATGTAATATGGATTGCGGATCCACCTGGAGGTAGGCTCGCAAAACCATTCGTAGGCCATATTCCACAGGCATATATTCCTTAGCTGATGTGGCCTCCCTCATTTACTCAGTAGGAAACCCAAAAAGGTGAAATCCTAAAGCCAGGCTAAAACCAGCCAAGATTCCTTAGCCCACACTACGCTAGGAAGAAACAGGGATCCTCTGTACATAAATGTATGGAATCCCATACCCCACAAAGTAGAAAGGATCCCTAACATTGATCCAGAGTCGTGCCCAAGAGCATGAGAGTGCGAGCAATCAGCAAGGCCAGCCACATGTAGGTCGGCGCATCCGCGTCCTTCCATGCAACATAGTGCTCGCCAATCCTGGGATGTTGTTAAGATGCTATTCCCAAAGATTGTCTGCGTGGTACTTGAAGGCCTCCGAAGTTATGTGTAGATAGGTTCTCTTACACAACAACGAAGGAAATCATTAATGATCTCAACTTGCCATTAGTTTGGATTTTAGATTGAGCTCTAACATACACAAACATGCAACATGTCATTGAACAACGACCCAGCATCCCTGACCCAAAGAACTGCACATAGGCGCGGCCAACAGCATAGCCTTCAGGGGAGGAGCTTCATGGTTTTCAAACCCTAAACCCTAAACCCTTAAACCCTAAACCCCTAAACCCTAAACCCTAAACCCTGAAATTTTCAGGCAGTGCCAATCCCATGGGCTACCCTTCTACTCCCCTTTTCTGTCCCCACCCCCGCAACTCCCTACCCTTAATTAACTTTAGTTAGCACTACCTGCCCCTGAATAGCCTCTCAGTACCCACTACTCATAGATGGCCCTGAAGAGGCACTCCCCCCGGTTCCGCATGCTAATCCCAATGCCAACAGTAGGCGTGGCTATGCTTTGTACATATGTATATATATATATATATAACTTCATTGTGGAAAGGCTTGCATGCAGAAACCACGACTCCACAACAAACAACTTTGGACTTATGAATTTCTAAACAAACCCTAATCGTTGCCTCTGTTCAGGCCACTTAAGCTGCACCCGTCCAACTAATGTTAAGGAACTTAAAATAGGGGATTATCCCCCTATAATGGAGAATCAAATAGAAAAAATGGAAAATGAAATGGAAACTGGAGGAATATAGGGATTTAAGGATAGATTGCTATTCTACCACTATGACTGCTTGTTCATTGGCGCGGGACTGCTCAAAAGCCTGCCTACACTCTGGATCCAAACTTTCGACAATCTTTACTTAAGCTGTGCCTTCCAAGGCTGGCGTCACTGCAAATGAGAGAGCCCCTGCACCTGTGTGCATGTCCTCCTGGAGCCTCAAACAAGACATGTGAAAAAAGGCTTCGGATTAGGGATTCAGGGATTAAGGAGCCTATGGCCTAGAGAATTAGAAATATATTTTGAAACGCTAAATGCGTTTTTTTGCGGATGCCGCTCTCAATTTTTCAGGCCCAATCCCATGCACCTGTCGAACGATGGTGCTCTACGACTTTAGAGAACACTCCAAGAGCAGTCCAGGTCCAGTCCAAGAACCCTCTAAGAACGAGGACTTCAAAATGCGAGGACGTCGCACAGGACTTCGAGGGAGCAAGATGTCGAGCCCAAATTCTGAGTAGTCTCTATACGAGGGGCCCCTCTAGTCATAAGTTGGGTTGTCATAGGGATAATATATTCATGAGTCCCATACTTTGAAGTTATGGGGTTAATGACTATACTTACAACCCCAAGCAGCCCGGGATTGCGGAAAGAGCGCATTGAAGTGCCAGGTCGCGGGCGCGCGCGCGCGTCACCGGAGCCCGTGTGCACTACAAGGCTGTGCCGCACACACACCAACCCATTCGGATCACCCGGCTGCAAGAATCCCCTAAAGTGCGAGCATACTCCTTCGGAAGAAGGAGTGATCTCCATACGTGGTTTGTAGATCGCTGTCCATCACATCGAATCTGTTGAAAAGCCTTCTGAAGAATGATCCAAGAGCTTGTTCGCATAGAAGATAGCCTTATCCCTTGGCGTAATCTGGTACCCTTTCCTGGGTTGCTGATTGGGAACTTGAATTAAATCACTATAATGAGGCAACCCAATTGTTTAGTATATACTGTACCCATATGATGGTACTTTTCTAAGCCCTAAATCCAACCCTATATACTCGATCTCCTAGTGCCTTACATTTAAGTTCCTTAGCACAGGATAACTCAGAATAATTTCAGTTCCCAATTTAAGGCCATTTTGGCGCTCTTCCCTATATAAACCCACCATTTAGGGTGAGGTCGAGTGAGGTCGCTTTAAAATAGCCCGGTTAACAGCCACCCAGTTTCTCCTTGAAGCGCTCCGTCATCTCAATGAAAGCATGAGACATGGGGATGAAGATAAGCATCCTTAGTGATGATGAGCAAGGTTTAGGATTCTCATGAGGGTTGCATATGGGTTATATTGGGGTTATACAAGGAGTATGTAGGGGTTATAGGGGCTACATTGGGGATTTACAAGGATTATGCAAGGGATCTATACGGGTTCATAGGGATAGCGGAAAAGAAAATGGAAGCTACTATTTAAGAGTTAGGGTTTAGGTTGGGTACTGCCCCCACCCTGCAACCGTCTACATTTTTGGGTGATATTAACGCCTATGAATAACCACATTATACTTATCATCCGACTGCCCAAGCTACAATGAAGAGCACAAGTAGTTGTACTTGTAAAGGAAACGAAGCTACGTACATACATATACCTTATGTGGACCCCCCACCCAGTAATAGTGACTATAAGGGATAATAGGGATTTTGTTAGGGTCCTCTTGTATTCTTATTATACCACTATTACAGGGTGGGGGGGTCCTCCTAACATATATGGGGTGGGATCGTCATCTTCAAAGTCGCAGGATGGATCCTTCTTTGAGATACTGCAAAAACTCAGGATTTTGAGGAAATCCTGTATGCCACAGTTTTGGAGGAATGCATCCCAATACTAGTCCTTAGACAATAAACCATAGACCCTGAACCCAAAGATCACCGTGGTTTCAAAATTTCTTTCAAATTCCTAAACCCTAATTAAACCCTAAACCCTAAACCCCTAAACCCAAGCTTCAGGATTCCCGCAACGGGGCAGAGGCAGCGACTGACTTCGAAGCCTATGGAGCGGATGCTCCCCCCGAAGTTCACAAACTCATACCTGGGTTAGGTGGACCCCCCACCCAGTAAACGCGGTTTAGGGTTTAGGGTTTAGGGCTTAGGGTTTATCTTTTTTGGGGCCTATGTTAGGTGGACCCCCCACCCAGTAATAGTGACTATGGAGAATAAAGATTATATTAAGGTCCTGTTATTTCCTGATATACCACTATTACAGGGTGGGAGCTCCTCTTAATGCCTGGGTCATTCAGAAAGGTTTTTGGTTTTAGAGTATAGGCTGGGTTATATGGAAGAGCTTGAAACCAAAAAAAATGCAATTTGAGCACGTTTTCTATGCAGACCATGACGTCAGGTGGGGTCTTCATCATTTGCACTGTTTAGGGTGTTGTTCGTATCGGGCATGAAGGAACGGATTCATCTAGCCGTCTTTTCAGAAAACACACAAATGATCCGCTTCAACATTCTGTGCAAGAACGAGGCAGGGATGGGACCACATGAAGCCAGCAGCGTTTGCTCTTGTAGCTGGATCTTCACAAACGAAAAGCTGATATCCGATCAAGTTTTGCCTTACAACTTGATAGAAAAAAGCTGAAGGCTTACACCCTGAACCCAGACACTTGGGAAACTCGCTGGCCAAGATCAGCAGCGCGGCCATGAGCATCAGAACCTGGAATATTGTCCCGTGCGGGGTAGTCCTCTGATGAATGGTCTTGCTCACAGATTCTGGCAGTGTTCGGAGCAAGCGTTCCCATTCCAAACCCTCAGTCGAATAAGTTCTAGTTCGCATCTCAATGTGATCCAGCTCGATAACTTGTCTGCGCCCCAGATCACATACCTGAGCTGTGTCTTCAAGTTACGTGTAAAAAATATGACAGCATGGGAACCTCAACGCCACGTTCAGAGGGAAAAAAGTCCACTTACAGCACTGCCCCAGGCTCTAAGGTTGAAACCATGGCCCCTAGTATGGGCCCTTAACCCTGGGATCCTTATATACCTACTATATACCCTATATCTACCCTGAAGGGTCTCTAGGACCCCCCCCTTAGGCCCCATATTAAGGGCCCATACTTCTAACCAGAGCCATCCACAGCCTAGTCGCGTACATTGCTGCATGGCCAGATGTTGCAGCAAAGATCAGCCTTGGCTGAACCCTGGTTTAGGGTTTAGGGTGCGAGCCCACTCAGTGTACTATAACTCAGGTAATACATTATACAAGGTAAATGCTCCTTAATCCCTACTGTCCACCTGTAAGTCAATGTACTACAGGGGGTTAACGCACCCAGCCTGTGAGAATTCACCCCAACTACAGACTCTGGGACTGGAAAGAATACACACCAGCGTGGGATTTACACCCCAGAAGATCTAATCCCTATATAGACGCTGCTTCCAGTTCACACCAAGCAAAGCATAAAATTGCCCGTTCGCATGCGGGCGCCGAGGGTTTGCAAACATAATCGCAAAGGTTTTTGCAGGGAGGGTTCCAGGATTCCAAACCGGCCTTTGGAGTAGCCATGCTTCTAGGGTTTAAGCCCTTTGCTGCAAATCTACAGAATGCCATAGAAAACAAACAGAAGTAAGCCCTCGAGGCCCGCCCTTACACCACTCACCCAAAAAGTCCCTGCGCACGCAAACCGCTAAGCCTCTTGGCCAAAAACAAGCCCTACAACAGCCCGCCATCGCCAAGAGAACCTGGACCCTGAAAGTGCACCCTGGATCCCGACACCCTGAACACAGAATCTGCACCTTACATCCTGCTGAATCCAAAGCCGCGAACCATAGAACCCCCATAACCCTAAACCCTGACTGCTAAATCTGTTACCCTAATTTAACCCTCATATAACCCTAATAGAACGCTAATATAACCTCAATATAACCCTAGGATTATCACAAGCATCCATCCCCTCAAGCACCAGCATCGCAATGCAGAAGCTAGAACAAATGTGACTATCATTCCTGTGTAATCCATGTATAAGCTTCATATGATACACCCCTATTCTAAGAATATTTTCCCATACCAATCATGTCTTGCCGAAACGATCATGTACTTCTAACCGCTATTCCAATTTTCAAGGCTCCCACATACAATCCGTAAAAAGCCTTGTATACACACCTTTTCCAGTTGATTTGCGTTTACTCACCTTTACTCTTCGGGCTTGATTGTCCACTTTTCATTTATTTAGGCCCTATCTTATCCTACTGCAAAATGTATTTGTATTGGTGAATCTCTAGACTATGACATGTCCTATGACGTCCTATGATATGAACTGCTTTGCAACCTGACTTCCATTTCATTGTACTTGAGCACATTCCGAGACCCTATTCTGACTATTTCAGCTTCTACAGTCTACAGAAAACCCTAGCCCCTACATGATCCCCTAAAATGCCATCTGTATTCCCACTAGGAGAAACCACAATACACTGTCATTATATATTAGGGAGAATATTCAACCCATATATAACCCTGGTATTACCCTAATATAACTCTGATATAACCCTAAATATAACCCCAATATAACCCTAAACCCTAAACATTAAGTGGGCAGGGTTCTTCTTAAGGGGAGGGGATTATGCAGGCTCCTTCAACTGCCGCAGGGAAGGCCCAGAAGGCCAATATTCGCACCAATTTAGAGTTTAGGGGTGTAGGGTTTAGGGTTTAGGGTTTAGGGCCCTAAACCCTCAACCCTAATTACGGTGATCCTTGCTATCGGGACTTTCCTGAAACCCTAGACCCAGTACACCCTCGAGCCTGAAACCTATGACTTATAGGCTATAAACCCTAAGCCTCCAAAAAAAACCCTAAACCCTATAAGGCCTTCAAAACCCCAACCAAGCCGTCGAAGCGAGGCCCAACCCTAATATGCCGTAATTATGATTAGGCATGTGCGGGGGGGCTCATGCTTTCCCGAAACCCTAAACCCTGAACCCTAAACACCAAAATCGCGTAGGGGAAGATCACCAATCTTCCACAAGCCAAGCTACAGGAGTGAGGCCCAGAAGGCTTGCACGAAGCGTTCGGGCTCGGTCTCGGCGCCTTCTGGCGCATGCAAATATTTCTATACGTATATGTAGATGAGAGGTGTGTATATCTGTATGCTGGGTTTAGTGCTCAGGTTTAAGGCATTTATATATACATATATACATATGAGCTATAGTCTAAACTCCTTAACGGGGTTATATAGGGGATTATGTGGGGAACTACTATAGGGCTTACTAAGGGGGAAACTAGGAGTTTAGACTATGGCTCATATATGCGTGTGTGCGTGTTTAGCTGCATGTGATGTTGGGTTAAGACCTTAGCGTCAAGCTAAGTGTAAGGGTTTGGACTTCAAGGCTTGGATTTCAGGATTTCAGCTTTGGCGATTGAAGCCTTGGAATTCAGGGTTTAGGGTTTAGTGTTTAGGGTTTAGGGTTTATGGTTTAGGGTTATTGAAGCCTTGGAATTCAGGACCTAGGCTATAAGCCCTTGGGTTATGAGAATGAAGAAGCCGGGCCGTCTCATGGGCATGATATGACATTCATATGAGCTATAGCCTAGTCCTTCCAAGGGGGTTCTATGGGGGATTTGTTTACGGGATTTTATAGAGGATTATGAAGGGGGATACTAGGAGTTTAGACTATAGCTCATATGGTGAGGATTTGGTCAAGATGAAAGTCCTTTTGTCAGACCTCAATGATTAGGTACCATATTCTCGGAGATCCCAAAAAAGGACTTAATTTCCGAACACACACACCGTATAGAGCGACATGAGGATAATGAATGGGGCCAAAGATGCCGGATCTGGGGCGCCAAGAACTAAGGTTTAGGGTTTAGGGTCTAGGGCTAAGCCTACGAAATAGCACCTGGTGTTGGAAGCTCACGAAGGCAGAACCCTAAACCATTCTACCTCGGGCGCCACGACTCTAGACTCTACAGGGGATATAGTTTGTTCTTCGAAAGAAAAACCTGCACGACCGCCAAGTACCTTGCATCTTCGGAATTATTGGAGTTTAGCATACCATAGTCATGCAGCAGTTCTGGTATCAACACTACCAAGGTTTTGGGTGGGATTGAATTCTTGGATCGTAGGGCTTGGTGTAGGTTCTGGGGTATTCTTATCATTGTAGGTCGCGTCTTGGGGTCTCGTAGTGAATATATCCTTGCCAGGGTTTAGGGTTCAGGGGGTTCAGGGGGTTGAGGGGGTTCAGGGGGTTTAAGGGGGTTTAAGGGGCTTCGAATTCAGAGTTTCGGGTGGCCCGGTTTTAAAAACTTCCCTTCTGATTGCAGGGACTTTAGGGTACTATTGCTCCGGCTCGAGATGAAATGAGACAGCATAGGCGCCACCCTCAACCCTGATTGCAAAACTGTGGCTTGTAAGCACCGATAGTACGAGTAAAAGTGAATAACGATTCTTCCTTGTTACTCGTACTATCTGTGCTTGTAAAAAAGCAAAGAGTACAATATGGAACAAAATCGCAATTGCATTTGCAAAAGTGCACTCGCAGAAACAATGATTTGGATAGAAACACTAACATACAACCTATATGATGACAATGCTATATAACCCTTCTATACTCTCCATAACCCATAAAGAAGCCCTAGCTATTCCCCTGTGATCCCTGTATAATCCGGAAGAAACCCATCTTTCAACCGCTGGCCTTCAGCGACTGGCATGCTTTGGGCCAAGCCACTGGCTGTCAGACCGCAAAGGTCAAGCAGATTACTGACGAATTTACTACAGTAAGGAGATGTACCCTGACCTCGTTTGGGGTAACAAACATCCCCTTGCCACAGTACGGCAGTGTCCGAAGTTAGACCAAAACACTTCACCATGCCGTGTTGGCCTTCTTCTCTAGACAGTCCCTACCCTTTGCATGGACCTTTAGTCAACTGAATTGTCTGACTCTGTAGTACCTTCATTGTTGTCATTATGCTTGTCAGCATTGGCAGTGTCCATGCTCGGAAGTACGGGTACGAGTACTGTTACTTGCACACTTTCTATGTGTCTCATGCAGTCTTGAGCCCGAACTGGTAGAGGCCCCGATACGTCCCCCTAAACCCTAAACGCTAACTGTTTGTTCAAACGTCAAGCTCCATCCATCTGCCTTTCGCCTGCGAGACAAACAATTTGCATGCTTTTCCCTGATGCTCCTTGTTTCGGGCTGGAAGCTTGAAAGCATATGGACTTGGGGCACACCCACATGCACCCTACATATAACCCTAATCCCTACATAACCCCCAGAATAGCCCTAAACAATCCCTAAACCCTGAACCCCAAACCTCTCTTTCATGTGTAATTTAAACCTTAATGGACCTTACCCGGCATTGGCCCACCTCCTTACCCTGCATTGGCCCACCTCCTTACTCGGCATTGGCCCACCTCCTTACCCGGCATTGGCCCACCTCCTGTCCCCTAGAGTCTTCCTTATAGGGTTCGCCCTTAGAGTTTTCCTTATAGGGTTTGCCCTTGGAGTTTTCCTTATAGGGTTCGCCCCCTAGGGTTTCCTTATAGAGCCTGCCCTTAGAGGTTTCCTTAATAGGATTCGCCATTAGAGTTTTCCTTATAGGGTTTGCCCTTAGAGCTTTCCTTATAGGGTTCGCCGTTAGAGTTTCCTTTGTAGGGTTCGCCCTCCGAGTTTCTTGCCGGGTTCGTCCTCTAGGGTTTTCCTTATAGGGTTCGCAAGGGTTCGTCCCCTAGGGTTTCCTTATAGGGTTCGCCCGTAGAGCTTTCTTTGTAGGGTTCGCCGTTAGACTTTTCCTTATAGGGTTCGTCCCCTAGGCTTTCCTTGTAGGGTTCGCCCTTGGAGTTTTTCCTCATAGGGTTCGCCCTTAGAGTGCTGCATAGTGAACGTGTTTTTTGATGGTAGAGGTCGTGTGGCTGTGTTGGGATGATGTGCATCTGAGAGTATAATATTTTCTTAATGTTAGGGGACCC